TTTTTTTTTTTTTTTGGTATCGGGGATCAAACTCTGGTCCTTGTGCTTGTGAAGCAGGCGGTGAAACTGAGCTAAATCTCCGGCCCCTATCAAGTTCATTTTTAAAAAAGTAGTGTCTTGGCAGGTGTGGCACATGCCTGTAATCCCAGCACTCTGGAAGGCTGAGGCAAAAAAACCCTGCAAGTTTGAGCCCAGCCTGGGCTCAATTTAGTGACATCCTATCTAAAAATAAAAAAGCAAAATATAGTTGATGTATTTCAGTGCAAAAGCCCTGGTTCAATCCTGATAAGGGGGAGGGGACAAAGGAGTCCCTTAAGTTGAAAACAAATTGATAATAACTTGGTCACTTAATTCTCAGGTAAAGGACTTCAAGTAACTTTTGAACAGAGAACTTTGATATACATCTTTAGTGAGATGCACTGGAAGGACAAAAAATGCTAAACATATTATACATATGTTAAAGAAAATTTTAAGACAATACAGTGTTTATAGTTTCTATCAATACAGTATTATTTTGAAACCATTCTTTAATGCAGGAAAGTTAAGTAATACTAACTTGTTTCAAAATTTTAAATATAAACAATAAGGAGCTAAGAAATTAGATAAAAATAGTAAACCATTTAAACTGAATTAGAAATACTAATAAGGAGCCAGGGATTTAGCTCAGTGGTTTCCGCTGCCTGCTGCACAAGCGCAAGGACCAGAGTTCAATCCCCAGTACCAAAAAAATTAAAAAAAAAAAAGAAATACTAATATGGACTCAAGGCTTAAAATGGCCTAGCAGGATGGGCATGCAGCTCAGAGGTAGATGCCTTGCATAGTATGTGTGAGGCCCTGGAATCGAACTCCAGCACTGTAAAACAAATATTTATCAAGTACTTACTAAATAGGCAATATATACATTAACTCCATCCACACAACCACTTTGTGAATAAAGATCCTTTTACCTGTGTATGGCTAGATGAGAAACTGAGGCACAAGATTTAAGTACCTGCCTAAGGTCACTGTGACATTAAAGTGGCAGTTGAAAGAGTTAACACAGGAAGTATGGCTCTGTAACCTATCTCCTTTTTGTTTGTTTTTTGAGACAAGGTCTCACCTCAGGCTGGCCTCAAACTCTTGGCAATCTGCTTGCCTGCTTCGGCAGCACATATACTAAAACTCTTGGACTCTTCCTGTCTCAGCCTCCACAGTGCTGGGATTATAGGCCTGCAGCACTACACCCAGCCCTATCTCCCCCTTTTAAAAAACTAACTGTAAAACATGTACTAGTCATAAAGTTAAAAAAAAAACACGAAGAGGTACTTGTTTTTGCCCTCTCTCTCTCCCAATACTCTTCTATTCCCAAAACTACATTAAAAGGTTTCTTAAGTGGGATGAATCTATAATTCCAGCTCTCAGGAGGCTGGGGCAAGAAGATTGTGGGTTCAAGGCCAATCTGGACTACATATTGAGACCTTGTCAAAAAAAGAGATTATGTATTTCCTGAGTTAATGAAAACAAAGATACTATAACCCCTCTTCTTTTCCCTTTTTTTTTCTTTTTTCTCTTTTGGTACCAGGAATCAAACTCAGGATCTTGTGCTTGTCAAGCAGGCAAGGTGCCACTGAGCTATATCCCCAGACCCCTTCTTTTTTCTTTGATGGTACTCAAGATTGAACTCAGAGCCTTCTTATTGAGGTACATCCCCATCCTCTTATTTTTTTATAGGGTCTTGCTAAATATCCAAGCTGGACTCAAATCCTCCTGCCTCAGTCTCCCAGACAGGTGCATGCTACTACACCCAGCTATAATCCATTTTCTTACTTTAAATATGTATACTTTACATTTTGTACTTTTTTACACTTAATAAATTTTTGTAGTTATTTCATTATTGGTATATAGAAAGCTTCTTCCTCGTTCTTTTTAACAGCTGCATATTACTATACTACCTAGCTATACCCACAGATATTGACCCAATCTATTACTGATGGGCATGAATTGTTTCTTTTTCCTGTTTGGTGCTGCGATTGAACCCAGGGCCCTAGGTTTGCTCTGTCATTGAGATATACAATCTCTCTTGTTGTTTTTAATTTTATTTTTAGACAGATTCTCACTAAATTGCCAAACTAGCCTCAAAGTTACCATATTCCTGCCTCTGCCTCCCAAGTGGCTGGGATTACAAGCCTGCACCACAACCCCAAGCTTCCAGTATTTTTCTATGCCAAATATTGCTACCATAAGCAATCTTGTATCTATATTATTTCATGTCAATGTAGATACATTTGTAGCATTAAGTGTTGAGTTAAAGCAGCTGTAATTATCACTAATACTGTCTTATCAAGTTTCCCTTCATAGGCTTTGCTTATGCCAATACCAATACTATTTTTATTTCTGAGGTTTTGTATTTATTTATTTTGCTATTTTGAGACAAGGTCTCTGTATAGCTCAGGCAGCCCTAGAACTGTGATGACCCCTCTTGCCACAGTCTCCCCAGTATAGTGATTACAGATACACATCATCACAAAGTAACAGTTGGAAGAGTAATTGCTTTCTTTTTCATATGCTTACTGGCTACTGCTACTAGTTTATTTTTCCATGTTAATAAAATCACCTTATCTAGTTCCAAAAAAAAAAAAAAAATTTAGTCGATTCTTTTATTAGCATTCATTCTTTGGTACAATTCTTTATGTACCACGGTATTTTATTTACACCACTTAGTATTTCAAAGATTTTTCTCGAATACTTTTGTACATTTCTTAAATTTCTTTTTATTGCTATTGTAAATAGTATTTTTCTTCAATTTTATCTTCTAACTGCCTGCTGTTTGTAAATTTGAGGCTGTTGATTTGTAGATCTTCACTTGGTATCCCACTACTTAACTCTTTATTATGCAAAGCTTTGTGAAACAGGACTGAAGATGATGTCTTTAGAAAAACCAAGCATGCAAATAAAAGTAGTTCTCTCCATTATGTTATAAAATTCATGCACTAAGAACACTTCGACTCACTAAGGAGTTTGCATATTTAGTCCTGACCCAGATAAATGCTGTCAACAACCAAATTTTCTTTTTTTAAAAAAATGAATTTAACTATTTCTAACCTAAAGCCCTTTTCTCTAATGCTGGGCTTTCCGCTTAGTGATACTGCTTCTCAAAAAGAAACATTATTTACGACAGCACCCCTTTTTTAAATAACTAAAAGATCAGGAGATTTAAGGCAGGAAGCAGGCATCCCATAACAAAAAAACCTTTGAAATATTTTTTTTAAAAAATAAGGGTGTTTGCATTCTAACCCAGTCAAAAACAAAGGAGTTTTTACATAAAAATCTTTTAAAATTTATTCAATACTTAGCTTTTTCCCCCTTCCGATCTTCCAAGTAAAATACTCTGTAAGATGGCACCGTTATAATTATCAGCACTTTCGACAAGGGAAATGCGGCTCATACGTTATACGGTACCTCAATATTGGTCTCCACATCTCCTCCTCAGGCGCAACCACACATAACCTTATACCGTTTCACATTCGCTCAACAATTCCAAAGAATGGGTCAAACTTTGCGGTCAAAGTCAGGGTCACTCACGCTCCAACCCTCCTCAGAGGCCCCCACCTCCGCCCCATAGTAGGCCAGAGGCTTTTAAACCCACTCCCCACCCACGCGCCGCGCCCCTACAAATCAAGAATCCTCCCCTTCAACCTCCCCGGCCCGACCGACCCAAAACACCCAGATCCCACCTCCTACTTTCGCGCCACGTGGACCGAGAGGCCGTACCGGCCCGCGGACAAAGACCAAAATGTCCACTCGGTGCGCTGCGCCTGCGCAATATGGGGGTGGGCGAGTGAGCACTCCCAGAAGTCTCTGCGATGCGGCTCAGCGTGCTCCCCGTAACCAGCCAGGCCTAGGCCAGGAAGTGATTACCCGCTACAGTACTACCAGCAACGCTGCTTTCTGGCCTTGGACTACATTTCCCTTAAGGCACTGCGGACAGTTCTAGCTCCCCCTCCCCCCACGCAAACTTGGCAGCCTCCTCCTGTGAGTTTGGGGGTCTTACGGTGAGTGGTCTTTCCTTGGACTCAAATGAGCTCGAGCCCACTAGAATGTTTGGAGTGGGGACTCCCTCTTTGAGGTCTCCCAGGCGCGGTCTCAAAACAGGCCAATCCCAGACTCAGAGGTAAGAACACGCCATCTTGTCCGTGGCTGTTGTAGCTCTGGACTACGTTTCCCAGACTTCACAGCGGCCCAACGTTACAGCTCTCTTGACGTCGTGGCGAGATCGGTCGCTTTGCAAGAACCCTGACGAGACCAGTGGAGGCAGAAGGTGAGGGGTCTGGGAATCTGGGGCGGAGACGGGGCGTGTCCAGAGTCTCAATTCCTTGGGAGCAGGCGGGCGGGGCCAAGGATTCGTGATTCTAAAAGTGTCCTTGATTGTGGCTCTATGAGTACATATGGATGCCTGTGATTGTGCGGTTTTAATCACTTGTCTCCAAGGTGTGTGGCTGGTGGTTTTGTGTAAACAGTGTGTGTGTTGCTTGCGGAGGTGATACCGAGTGTGCCCCTGTTTATATGTGCCTGCCCTTCGTGCTCCTGGAAATATGAGTACAGTTTGACTTTGTGACTGGTGTGGGTGTCTGTATGAGTTGTGTGACACCGTAGCCTTGTGTGCAATTGTCATGTGCATGTGACTGTGTTGTGCCCAGATTGTGAAGTCCCAGAGACCACCAGGAGACCGTTTCCGATGTAAGCACACAAGGGTCGTTTATTCAAGCTTAAGCAGGGA